GAGGTAGTCGTCACGTTTTGATTACCTATAACTTTGTCCTTGAGATTTTATTTTTGTTAACTTTTTTATATCATTGTACAGAGAACATTTCAGGCTTTCAAATGATACCAAATAGAGTTTGATTTGATAATTTAATCAAAAGAAAATCAGAACCAACTCTGAAGAAAAGTAGGTCTCCATCCAACTCGGCGGTCCGTGTCCGCCCCTTGTTTGCATGGGAATAAAAAATCCAATCAAGCCTCTATTTGGTATCATTTGAAAGCCTGAAATATCCTCTGTACAATGATCATAAAAGGTCAACAACAAATATAATCTCTAGACAAAGATTATAGGCCTTCAAAGCGTGACGTTTATTGGTTCGAAATACCCGAAAGAGCCGATTGTTTCAATCTAAATCGGGTGACGTTCGCGTATGATTTCAGACACAACATACTACACTGTGCAGAATCGGCGCATCGTTGAAGTGCTGTGCTCATGTGTGAGCCTCTGATTCTCGACGCCGCGTTTGCCTTAAAGATTCAATCAGTCGACATCACCTATACCCTTCAATACAATCTTGTTGTGGGTGACGATGTAAAAATGATTTGAAAGAGTTTATGCCACTAATAACTTTTAGTGTTAGCCTTCATTAACAATTGATCTCTTATCCAAGCTATTTATCTCTCTCATCAGGAGTGCTTGGAGCCGGCGAGATTGTCTATTTCACAAATTATTTTGTAATAGCTATTACTATTCTTGATATATGTAAGTTTAAAAATTTCCAGGTAAACTTTTCTATGGTAGAAATTATTTTTCTAACTTTTACTAGTAATCCATTTAGCTCTAGTCCTATCCGCTTTCTACAATCTCAGCAAACAACAAACGTTTATGAGTGAGAGCACACAGAAACTAAAGTGGAAATGGTTTCATAATCTTTTGATTCAGGTTTTGAAAAACTTTAACTGTAAATTATTGGGTTGTTCTAAAAAACTGCCGGCTATTGACATATGTGACAGTTTGAGCACTTTCTTCAAAAGAAACCCATTTTGGTGTCAATGAAAAAGTTGTAGAGAATCAAAAATCAAGCTTATATCCAAATTTCCAAAAAGATACACTTAGTAGTTCCGCTTAAAATGCAAGTTTTAATGCAAGTTCCGCTTAAAATATGTGTGTTCTGTTTGTTCTTTGTGCGGCCCCGTAACCGCTCGTCGTCTGGCGCCGGGCTTTTACATAACCCCTTCCCTCTCCCCGCTACTGACTGTTCCCGAATCCTCAAATTCGACATTGACTTCCTCCGCAAATCAAGGCTAATCTCAATCCTAGTTGGTGAATTGAAAATTCCCGGCTATTGTCATCTGTCACAGTTTGAGCACTTTCTTCAAAAGAAACCCATTTTGGTGTCAATGGAAAAGTTGTAGAGAATCAAAAATCAAGCTTATATCCAAATTTTCAGAACGATTCAAAACTGGTTTTCAAGAAATGCCAAATTTACGAATTTTCACAAAACTTGCATATTAAGCGAAACTACTAAGGTATCTTTTGGAAATTTGGCTATAAGCCTAATTTTTGATTCTCTACAACTTTTCTATTGACACCAAAATGAGTTTCTTTTGAAGAAAGTGCTGAAATGCTCAAACTGAATCTCCAGTCCTCCATTTTTGAGTCTCACACTTGTCTCACACACAAACCAAAATCCTACTACGAAAGAGAAGACGAAAATCCGTAAATTGCCTGTAAAATGGGCAGAAGTCGTCAATAATAATGGAAACTATTTCGAATGAAATGATGGTTTTTATGTTGAATAAATTTTAGTTCAAAGTCCGGCATTTTTCAATTCAGCAACCCAATACATCTCTAGGTGATCGTCGTTCTAACGCTCTATTTTGTTCCTTTTTCTTGGTATCGTGTCATCGGTGCGGGAGAACGCTTTTGGTTAAGCGGTTTGTTTAATGTTCTAGTCTCTTGAAACACTTGAAACATTTCATTTCTCAGGAAAATTATTTAAGCTTTAAAAAAACTCGATATCAAATTCATTTAGGATACACAGTCTATTTCACAACACTTCTCTGTTTTCACGGTACCGTTTCGACGTTGCTACTTTTTACGGTTTATGATACCTACCGAGAATGGATGCTCGACAAACTCGGCTTTCGATGCGGAGAGGTAGAAAAATTCAAATGATAATATATTATGCAAATTTTGGAAACCTACATTCATACAAGGTGCGTCATAAATACCCGGACTCGCTTCCAAAAGTCCAGCTTCCAAAGCTCGCTTCCAAAAAGTCCAGCTTCCAAAAAGTCCAGCTTCCAAAAGTCCAGCTCAGCCAAAATTAAACGAATCTCTCTGATTTTTGACTAGGTCTCCTGTAACAGTGTCCAATTTGAAGTTTGAGCACAGATAATTTTTATATAGACTTCAGAAGTTGAGAGTCGCACTTTCGTTGGCACGCAATGACTTTTGGGATTACACATGCCACGAAACACCGTGATTTCAACTTTCTTGCAAGAAAAGTGTTAATGAAAAATCGTCATGCAAAATTAGCCGTTTGAAAGTTTGAAAAAGTAGTAAAGATAACAATCACATGAGTAATAAAGATAAATAACTTTAAGGGTAAATAACTTAATTCTGTTATTTACCCTTAAATGTCAAAGCTTAAAGCTACTTTTGAAGTAACAACGAAAGTGTGACTCTCAACTTTGAAACTTTGAAAGACTATATAAAAATTCTCTGTGTTCTAATTGACTTAATATTGGACACTGTTACAGGAGACCTAGTCAAAATTTACCTATGAGAAAAGCGAGAGATTCGTTTCATTTTGGCTGAGCTGGACTTTGGAAGCGAGTCCGGGTTTTTATGACGCACCCTGTATACACCATCATGCATCATTCAATTTAAAGAGTCACAACTCGGTCCTACACTCGGTGGTGATCGTTTCAAGTATTGAACACCGAGAACTGGTCGCTATTTCAAATCATAAAAAGGAACTCTTGATTGCATAATGGTGTTTCTTCACGTGCTTTTAATTGTCTCTGATAAATTTGTCTTAATTTTATCTGTTTTTCAAATAGTTTTGTTTAATTGTAGAGCGGAGTGATTGTGAAGATTCAAAAATAAGTTGTGACTCTGAAAAAAAGCGAATGGAAGCTACGGTCTCTTGATGCGCTCTTTCACAAATCCGTTAGTGCATAAATCCATAAAAAACAAATTACTAACAAGGTCAACTGGCTGAACCGGCCAAATGACATGTAACCTATACCATCTATATAATTTATTTTTAATTAACATTAGTTTGGTAGCTTTATTTAACAAATTTCCACCCAGAAACTTAGTCCCTACAGGGAAAAACTTTGATTTCACAAATTTTCTATTTAAAATATGTACTATTTTAACAATCCCTGCGATTCGACTTTTTGAATCGTTAAATCGAGCATTGATAGTATCATTAGTCTTAAGACTGATGACTTTTCAGACAGTCTTTTTTTCTAAAAAAAATTTGACCATGAACAAACAAAAAGCTTTTCTTAAATCTTATCTTCAAAAGTTTATCAATACTTATCGATACTCAAATATCGTTAATCGATACTTTTTGATATCGATAAGTATCGATGTTTATTCATTAAAAGTCGCTATATATAAAATAGCGATCAAAAGCTGGAGCTGAAATTCTTTTACTGAAAAACACAGAAACATACTTCCCATGCGTACTTTTTTGTCTCTTATGTCAACCGGAAAAGTGAGATTTTTGGTGTTGAGTTCGAAAATTTCTGTAAAGCTTTTCTACTCTAATTTTACTGCTAACTAAACTACAACTGTGCAAGCTTCAGCATCCTCGTCACTGAGAATTTCATCTTAAAAGTGACCGACTTTTGGGTGTGTTCGCGATTTGACTCGGGGCGGTTTACCAACAATCACCGGCACATATCTCTTACATGAGTCCCGAGTTGTTGCGAGAGAAATTGGCTATAGAAAAAGAGTTTATCTAATAACAAACCGTTTTGCTGAAAACATTTGAGTTTGATACGAGGAATAGTCCTGAAATCCCTCAAATTCATCCACTTTCAAGGCTTCCTTCACCAGCAAGACCTGCTATACCGCCAATGTTTGTCACAACGGGCCAGGAATCGCCGGAAAGCTAAAGCAACTCGTCTTTAAGATCACAGACGTCTGAAAATAAAATAAAAACATCGCAGATTCCAAGGTAGCCCTGCCTTTAACGGTGCCCGTTATCTAACCGATAGGAGCTCACAAATTTTTTAAATAACCTCTCAAAGTTGGGAGTCGCACTTAGCTTGGCGCGCGATCTAGTTTACGGATTGATCTTTAAAAAGATCGATTCAACGAACTTGAGCCGCACATTCAGCAGTGAAGTTTGCGGGAAACAGTGATTTTGTGAATGATTCTGGAATTTATGCAAATCTTACTTAATGTTTTGCATTCTTACAATTCTTTCCTCATTGAGGTGTGTTGCTGGTCGAAAAACTCAATCGAACCACTTCCACACGTTATCTCGATTACCTAGCTCAAAGGTGATGCTGATGTTCTAGAGTTATCGAGGAAAATCCGCTACTCACCGCAATCAAATTCTCTCCAATAGACATACTCCGGCAGGCACAACCCGGACTCTGGATCATCTGTCTCGTCAATCTTTTTCGTTCCCAAAAACGTCGTCCCTTCACATAAACGAGCGTACACTTGATTGCCTAATTGTAAGCCAAAGCATGCAGTGCTGAATATAGACATCGTCGGTTGGGTTTGGCTGAGCTTTGTCAAACGCATTCCTACCACAACACAAGACACCATGAGTCAACTCAATCTATGATCCAACTCACAAATCAAAGGCTCAATCAGAACCAATCTAAACTAAACTGCTAATTGGGTCGATTTTTAATCTTTTATATACGATTCGTGAATAAAACTATATCCCTCAAATCGCCCATAAACACAACTTAAACTACGACATTTCATAATCAACTTAACATGGTAAAACGTCAACAAACAAAATGAAACTTTATTCATTACAACACTTCATAATCAACCAAATCACTTTCGCTCACTTCTCCAATGATATCATTTGCTTGATTCAAAGCCTAGATAATAATATAAAAAGAATCAGAATACATTCGGAAACCTCCAACATTGCCATCGCCTCCTTTCGCTGCTGAGCCATTCGCTCGTTTTCGCCGAGCAACTCGTTAAGCTTTGACGAATTGTAAAGAGCGCCTACGAGCTCAGCGTGCAGGTTCTCCTAAAAATCAAAAAAGCTGAATTAGTGCTTTGAAGTTACTAGCGAATTAAGAAGTTACAAATAGCTATAATACTAGGGCTCCCTAGAGTTGGAGTTTAAAATTGGCTCATAACTACAAGTACAGCTGGGGTTTCGCGTCACGGTGCTGAAGAATGGCTGACATACAAACGCCGATAGAAGCTAAACTCACAATTTACAAAGCAACCAAACTGTGGTTCCATGTCTCATATGTGAGCTCATAATCAGCTTTTAGGAGCCCCAGGAAGTGACAGGTAATTGATATCTTTAGAACAAGAACGCAAACTTTCTTCTAAGTAGCCTCTTTTCAAAGTGGTTCTTCGCTCTTGATAAGCTCCCCCCTCCGCATCCCCAATTTAAACTTTAAACTCACAGTGACATAGTCGACCATGTTGTGCATAATGGTTTTCGGCACGAGGTCCTGAACGTTCTTGCGAACAATCGAAAAGTAGCTGTCGATGAGACGTTCTGGAAAACTCCTGGACTTTAGAAAAACTCAGTAACATTACTAACTTCAGTAACTTCTACAAATCTAACTTTCACTATAGACAACTGGAAATATTATCCATCTTAATTAACTATCGTAATCTCTCTCGTAATCTTCCCACCCATGATCTCGCAATCGCGTTGTTCGTTGGGCGTCAGCTCCTCTTTCACCAGTTTCTCCGGCACTTTTGTTAAAGTGTTTTCGTTCAAATTACCTGAAAAGCGTGTGGAAATTCTTACCTTTCTTGAAAACCTTTCAAGTGCCCCAGTTGAACCCTCGGACACCCAGGCGACTTTTCTTAAAACCTAGATAGTCAATCATTTGGAAATTCGACATATAGGGAGCCAAGAGTTTTTGCTATTAGGAGAAAAACGAGTATTCAAAATATCCAAAAGAGCCGAGTTTGGCCAATTAAAAATTTTTGCAAGAGGAGCACTCTTGGAAAGGTCCCTAGATCCGTTTTTCTCGAGGCCTACCTAGCCAATTTTCTGAGACTACAGAATTTTATAGTCGACCAAGGAACACACAATTTAAAAAAAGAGTAACTCACAAGGGCAAAAATTCTTGGCTTTCTATATGCCAAATTCAAAATGATTGACTGTCTAAGTTTTAAGAAAAGTCGCCCAGCGTGACCAAGGGCCCAACTGGGGCACTTCAAAGGTATAGTTGTGGACACCCACCTTGTTGCAGATGAGCACGTTGGGGCTGCCTTTGCTGATCTCGTAACTCCTGGAATGTGAACGTTTCACCTTTTCTATATACAGAAGTCAAATAGGCAATGCTTACTTTTCTCATCGCCGCATTTCTCGCCTCATTCCGAGCGACCAACTCCTTCTGCTCGTTTCGTTCGTCAAGATTCTCGACAAATGAATTCTAAATCATTGTCAGCTTATTGGTACTAAACATTTCCTTTAGTTTAACGAATAAATATGCGTATCTCAATTTTCCGCAAGGGATATTTTGAACTTTATTAAACACCCTTTTATAGGTCGGGACTATGAATGCAAAATCTAGACTTCGCAAATCGAGCCCCGGCCGTTCTTCTCACTTGCTAAACCATGAGAATGATCTCCCAGTTAACAACATCGACATGTCTATTCAATAGGGTATGTTGATACAAACTTTGAACAAATCGATAAGTTTCGCGTCGGCGAATTCGGGATGTCGAGTGTTGATGTAGGCGCCCTCAACGGCAAGAAAGTTTCCCACCTAAATTTGGGCCTCACGTGAAAACGTTTGAAAAACTTAACCAGAGATTTGGTTTCGTTGAGACGACTCTTCAGAATGTTACCCAAAACTCTCTTGATCGCTTCGCAAAGACGCGGAAAACGAGTCATCTCTTGCTGAAATCGTTTACAATACATAAACTATGTAAACCTATAATACATTATCTCTTCCTTGGAATTAGCAAACTAAAATTAGTTGAAATTCTGAGGTTCGTCTATTAGCGACTAGGATAGACTAGCCTTTTCCTTAATCCTTTAACTCTGAGAAAATTTCTACCTGAACATCTTTGCCACAATGTGAAACGAGTCTCTGAAGCTCCTGGTGCACAAGGTCTACGCATCTGAAAAAGATCTTTTAAAAATATATAAATTGTATTTTACTTCAATGAAGGCTCCTCTAAGCGTTGGATTTGTTTTTTCACAAGCAACGCAAAGGCGACCTCGGGCACAAAAAGCGCTGGGCGGGCACCCTGGAAAATCGTAAGATCTCTGGGCGAATTTTTAATACCTTTTAAATCTAGATTGGTATACGACGTTTTCCGTTACATACATATGCCTATTAACTCTATAAGATATGAAATTCGCTAACCGTTGCGTTTCGTAGAGCCGCCAAAATGGCCGATGGCAACAAATTCTTTAATGGATCAATGCTGTTCATCAACTTGCTGTAGATCTCGTGGAAAATATAGCAAATTCTTGCGCCACCACATCTAAATTTTCAAAAAAATACTCATTTGAACCAAAAAAACTCACAGCTCTTCGGCTTCAACATAACGCGTTGTACCCTCAATCGTAGCCCTATAGGCAGCGGAAAATCTATCATAAATGTTTACAGTTATTCAAAAATTTATGTCAACATACAGGGTGTCTCATAAAAAAATCGTTTTCATATCGAATTTCCTAAAAGTTCTAGTGTCCGCTTTGGTGTCAAAAGCGTGTTTTTGTGCTCAGGAATGTCTCACCCTTTTTTCTCTTTCTCACCATATTTTGATACCCTGTACATGAGATTATGGGTGCCATCATGGCTCCCACCACCACCACTACCATGATCACTAGCCACGCCACCACAAACACTTGTATTTTACTGAGCATTTGCATGGCCACATGGCAAATGACTCATTCCCTTGCCATTTCTTGAGTGAAAAGTTAGCTTGCTCGTTTTGCATTTTCATTCATTGATTGAATTTAGCCTCAACTAGCACTGTGCACACAATAAAAACAATTTTCACATTCTGGGTACAGGGAAACTCTCGGTAAAATACAAGTGTTTGTGGTGGCGTGGATGGCGATGATGGCAGTGGTGGTGGGACCCATAATCCCATGTACAAGGTATCAAAATATGGTAAAAAGAAGAAAAAGCGTGAAAATTTTCTGAGCCCGAATAAACGCTTTTCACACCAAAGCAGCTACCTGCAGCCATTAGAACTTTTTAGAACATTCGATTTGAAAGCGTTTTTTTATGAGTCACCTTGCATAATTCTCAAAAATTACCTCGTAAGGATTTTCAGCAGCGCTTGATTCTTGTCCTCGATCGGCCTTCCGTAGACGTTCAACTTGACTCCATACTGGCTGATGAGCGATGCCACTCGGTCTTTCAAACTTGGCAGACATTCATGAATGTGATTCATCAAGAGCTAGAAAAGTCTAAGATTGCTATGTTGTTATACGGACTTCCAAGCCATATAATATGACTTGAGTTTCAACTTTGACAGACTGAGTTTTAGGCTATACCAAGCCAAAAATCCATGGAGTGTTATGGCCAGGCGGCCTATGACTATTATTAACTTTTTCTCCAGCCATGCTCTAAATACTCAGTCTGTATATTTTTTCTACTTACCACATTAAGTCTCACGGACAAATAGCGTGTGCCCTGGGTTTTCGCGAAATTCGGATACTCTTTCTGGAAAAATGCCTCCTCGGCTTGTAAGGCTTCGTCCATTGGCTTCTCGGCCATGATATCAGCCTGTATAGAGTTTAACTACCAAATAAAACTAAATCCGAGACCTGTGAACGATTCACCACACCGACGATTCCTAACTTTACGTCCACGAGTTGACCCGATAGGATGTCCAAAGCATTTGTGCCACGATCCATCAAATCCAACTTGGTCAAAACCGCCAACGTTCGCTCACCTGCAAAAAAATTTATCTTATTCGTTTTTGGATAATTTTAACTTGCATACCTTCCGGATCGACATCTTTGGCCATTTTCATCGGTTCAGAAGTAGCGAAATCCTGATTCGCGGGAGTTACCGCCAGGATAATCGAGTTGGGGTTGTCGATGTAGTGCATGATCATTTTGAGGATTTGTTGCTGAATAAAATGTATTAAATACTATAATTAAACACGCTCTTACTTCAATATTACGTGGTTGATCGCCGACAGGGATTTTCGTCATTCCTGGAAGATCAACTAGCGTCAGATTCGGGAAACGATCCGAGAAGATCTTCAACGAAATCGGCATGTCATCAATTCCCTAAGTGTGTTAATTTTTGTCTAAGCAACTTAAAAAGGCTTCATTTTACAATTCAAGTAGGCTAAATCTCACTTTATTTGTTCCGGTCGATCGATCCGTCTCATCAGCGATCTCTTTTCTCACCAACTCGAAATCGTCAAAGATCTTTGCGTTGGTATGCTCGAATTGAGCCCAATCACCTGGAAACATTTGGATGTTTGTTCATTAATCATAATATCGTTTATTAGTCGTAAAACGTGAGTTGCGAGCAAATTTAATCCATTTTTAGTTTCATCAAGTTATAGTTTACAAAGCAAAATTCCTCATTAACAACGAGCGTATAAACGAGCGTTGTCAATTATAAACTCTTTGCAGAAATCGCAAAAACGAAGAGGCTCAATGTACCTTCACGTCCCTTTCGTTTCTCCTCATCTTCGGCTGCTGTGTGGCATAGTTGTAGAATGAGTGGTCGACGAGTAACGATGCCAGTACCTCTTGGCAGGAAATCACGACCCACGATAGCTTCGATCACCGAGCTCTTACCGGCACTCTGAAATAATAGAATCTGGGTTAACCGTTTACAAACATGGCCACCAAAGCATTGGACTTAATTGAATAATAGGTGACTTCTTTTAAAAGGTAAGTACGTTAATAAACTGGCTGGCTGGACAACCCAACCCTTTTCTTATACCAAAGAAAGCCTGGTCAAGTACTGTTTTATATGAGAGCTCTACTTCTCCTTAAAACAAAAAAGTTGGATGCATAAAGTCTTTGTGTTGGACAATATGGCAAACCAGCCTACCTGTGCTCCAACGACAACAATTTGCGGTAGCTGAATCTCAGCTTCACGCGATCCGACCACAGCGAAGACATCTTGGATTTTGTTGATTTTTGAGATCAAAGATTCCATCTATATATATACTATATATATGCCAGCAAAATTTACACAGAATAGAAAAGGAAAATAGTACTGACAATAAAGGAATTTAGCGGGGAATGGCAAACTAGCATAAACCAGCTAGAATTGGTACTTAAAAGAAAGCGCAAGCTAACTATAATATAAGAATAATGGGAACATGTTGCCTATTTCACGTTTCAAGACAAGAACGATCGGTGGCAAAAGATTCTGCTTAGAACAAGATAAGTAGAGGGGCGTTGAAAGAACGGCGGGAAAAGTCTAGTCGATACGAAGTCGATTCAGTTGCTATATTTTGTTGAATCATCGAGACAAAGCGTGAACCACTTATTTTTATGCAAAAGATCTCTCTTCCCCTTTTTTGAATGAATCATTTGTTTGATATCATGAACCAAAAAAATTTGTAGAGGGCGGGGGTAAATTTAAGAGATTTACACAATAAAAGCGCTACACCTAGAAAAAATGATTGAAAAATTGGCTTTTTTTGCCACTTTTCAATGCCATTTTCCTAAGCGCTGGTTATTGCTAAAAATTTGTGTTATAGAGTCGTCGAAAAAAGTTTTAGCCGGTCAATGTTCACTTGGTCCCTAGATCACATTCAAATATATTGACCACAAATAGTTTTATGTAGCATTTTCAAAGCTGTTAAAATGAACCATTTAGCTTTTCGATATCCTTTGAACTAAGAGTTTTGTGATCGAAAAACCTTATTTGAGCATGATGTTTAAAAATCTGTATTTCAAAAGTGAATGGATGAATGGATTCAAAACGATTCAAATTGTAATGGTATTGGATCGTCTATTACTTAGTTATTAGTTTTGTTCTGGTGAAAATGAAAGGCTACTGGCAGTTTTGAAGCCATGAACCTGAGAATTTGAGAAAAAGGACCTTACGATCTTATGCAAAAGTAGCTTGCAAAATTCTATTTAGAGCCATATCAAAAATCTAAGAATATCATCTTAAAGCTCTCAAGAAATACTACAAAAAAACTAATTGGGATCGATTTATTTGAATGCGGCCTAACAGGAGGAAAATGAGAAAACATTGACCGGCCGACTAAGACTTTTTTGACGATTGTATCTCAAAAAAATCACCCATTCTCTCTACTTTAATTTGATACCTAAGGGCGCAGAAGCAAACGTCCTGGTGTTAAGATATGAACGTTTGTTTGAGAGTAAACTTAGACTACGCGACGCTCCTATAGAGCGAGGGGGCCACTATTAGAGTATTACGGTGTCAACCCATAAACTCATAAATAAACTTGCTGCCCGCGCCAAAAACCGCTTAAAATATTCCAAACACCAACCTGGCCGCCATCCAAACTCGCTCGTTGAAGACGGTGTTGTTGTGCGTCTTGTCGCCGAATATCCGCTGCCTAAACAGACAACAATTACTCACCAATCTTAATCTTCCATTATAAGAAATATGCAGGCGTGCGTTAAAAAACTTACAACTAATTGTGTCACTTAAACTCTTACTGACAATAAAATAGTTTAAAAGCTAAGTTCCAAACGTTGACCTGATCGCTATTCAAATTTGCTCTTTGCCGTTGGTGTTGTTGGGCATTTTGTCGCCGAATACCCGCTGCCTAAACAGTCAATAACTACTTTCAAACAATAATAATGACTTTTATTAGAAAAAATCTAGTACCTGAGCATTTCCCAACGATGCTCTTTGCGTTTGGGCAGCTGCCCGGTCTGGCTCGCGACGTCTTCGATTTGGCATCTGTAAAAACCAAATATAAACAAAACGCAAGTGCCAAACAAAGTAAACGTCAAAGAGTTAAAAAGAGGTTGAATTTTTAGGAATAGCTAACTTCGAATTTTTTCTAAAGAAAAGCATAGCTAAGCAAAACTTAAACAGACACGCGGAAGGATTCGTCTTCAAAAACGCAAATTGGTACTAACGAGGGAAGGTCACAAGGCTGGGGTGGCCAAATGCCATGAGCCATATACCATACGACGCAGAATTTTACGCTGGTTTCGATGCTGCTATCCGCTTTTGCAAAAAGGATTCGGAAACGCGAGGAATCTAGCAAATAAGTTTGAGGTCATGAGAAGTCAAAAATCAGTCCTTAGATAAGGCTTCTTTCGCTGTTCCGAAATGTGAGCTTGTGTTGTAGTGGATAAGAGTTTTGTTTCTGAAACAAGCTATTGAGTTTTTGCTTGAGTTCGATCCCTTCCTTTTGTTTTCATTTTATTTTGATGTTTGACCGCTCGAATTTGCTCTATTTTAACTTTACAAGAAGTATTATGACATCTTTTAATTGATAACAAACAAAAAATTAACACACGTGGCTGCAATCTATAAAGTGAATGAAATGCAAGATGTCATAATACTTATTGTAAAGTTAAAATAGAGAGAATTCGAGCGGTTAAACACCAAAATAAAATAAAAACAAAAGGAAGGGATCGAACCCAAGCAAAACTCGATAGCTTGCTTCGGAAACAAGATTCTTATCCACTACACCTCATGCTCACATTTCGAGACGGTGAAAGAAGCCTTATATGGAGGCTGTTTTTTGACCTCTAATTTCACCTCAAACTTATTTGCCAGATTCCTCCCGCTTCCGAGTCATTTGGTACCTTGAGAGGGGCCCCTTTTCTCCTGGCTTAGTTGGACCTAATATTTTGAGTGGTTGCATTGATAGCTTTTATCTATCCTAGAGGAATCAAATATGCTTAATAGATTGGTGACTATTTTAGCAAGTTTTTGGGAATTCTAGCCTAATCTCATGTACTTTAACCATCAAACGCTACGTCAAAGCTTGCTTACACTTGAAAATAAAATAAAAGCGGCAATATCAAAACTGAAACATGTTGTAAATCCTCCAAAAGTATAACCATATTTGATTGCCCTAGAATCGGTAGATATCAATGCAACCACTCAAAACATCAGATCCAACTAAGCCAGGATAAAGGTGAAAATGAATTAGCGGAAGACGCAATTCTGAAAAAGGAGCAAATTTTAGACAACGCAAAAAAGGAGCAACTTTTAGGCAACGCAAAAGCTTTTTTGTTAATATTTTGATTCTGGGGTAATTTTATGATTCCGGAAAACGACATCTCAGCTCCGGGTTTTGAGTTTTAACAGCCTACAAATAATTTTTAAAAATTATGCACTTTTAAGGGTTTTCGATCGTTTTAAATGCAAATTTGCATAGTTTAAATGCAAATTATCAGCATACCACTATTTTTAGACTGATTCTTGATTTAGTTAATCAAGGAAAAACCTAACAATAGTATTGATTTAATTCTGTATGTTTAAGTTAACATTGTGTTGTGTATGTCTGTATGTTTGTGGCCCTAAAGAGGCCCGTTGGATTGGGGGTTATTTTAGCTCACTGACACGGGTAAAGTTGTTTCACTTGCGAACAGAAATGAAACCATGGATCGTCACCAAGCTGGCAAAAGATAACAAAAGATGGCAAAAGATTCTGCTTAGAACAAGATAAGTAGAGGGGCGCTGAAAGAACGATGGGAAAAGTCTAGTCGATACGAAGTCATATTTTGTTGAATCATCGAGACAAAGGGTGAATCATTTATGTTTATGCAAAAGATCTCTCTTCCTCTTTTTTGAATGAATCATTTGTTTGATATCATGATTTTTAGGTGAGCTTGGGATTCCGGGAGCGTCGTTGGACAAGGATAGTGGACTGGAGCATCGAAGCCCTCCAGTTGGGTCCTACGGTAAACATTTGATGTAACGTTGTTAAGTATTAACCAAATGTTGCTAATTTACACGCTAATAATGTATGTACGTAAGCAACAACAATAACTGTTTCTACTGACGAACTTTAGGCGAGCCGATGCATCGCGATGGGGATCGCACGAACCGTCGCTGGTATTCAAGTTGGTAAGGAGTTTGAATCTTTGGAGCAAGCCATAATTTTATTTTAATGGGTTCAAATTCACACAGTGAACTTTATCAAAATCATGCTCAATTTTATTTTAGATACCGACGAACGCAGAAAGCGCTTCTCGGACAATGGCAATGAAGATATCGCACTTGAATTTCTTGGGTTTGCACGCTGAAAAAAGAAAAATGATGTTGTATTGTGTTTTGAATTCAAATTTTCGCCTTATAAATGCAAATTTCGTACTATCTTTCCCTCTAAATGACAAGTATGTTTCAAAATTTGCATGGTTGTTTAGGAAAATGAATAACAAGTTAACATCAACTTATTGGCGAAAAATTCTGGCATCGATATTCATTAACCTTATTGAAATACTTTATTAAAGTTACTAAAGTAATTTGTTTATGTACTAGACTAAGTTTTGGTCAAAAAAAGAGCAATACAGCAAAATTCAGGAGCTTCACCTCAAGCCGAAGAGAAAGCCAAGCGAGAGGAGCGTCTTCTCGGCATCGTCTCACCGAAAGAAACTAGTAAGAAAATGATCGAATGGCTTTAAAAAATGAATTTAGAGTTGAAATAGCCGACCGAATCGTTGAACATCTAGCTTTTATCAACTTTTATAGCTTTTATTTCTTTTAATTTCGGATAAAGTTTTTCAAAAAGCACTCATACCTCAAAAAAATCGTTATCATTAAAGATCTTCGTTGAATTGACAAATTGTCTAATTTAGTGAAGATCTTCAAGGAAAACAATTATGTATACGTGTATTATATTATATAAATTTAGTCTTATATTTATTTAAGTATCGATTCAAGCTTTTTTTTTGATGAAGAAAGGCATCTCAAAAGTTTGGAAAGCCCATTACCCGTGATCCCTTCCAGGATCACCAACATGGGCTAGTTTTTCATTCCACAAAACCATATAATACTGAAGAAAACTGAATAAGAAACAAGCATTAAGTGACGTAGATAAGTGTCCTATGCTTTATGATTCCATTACCTTATTTGTTTTCTTCATTTAAACATTCGAGCCATAAGTCGTCTATGTAGAGATCGGAAGCTGAGTTTTTGCTACACCTTAACGATTCTGAATCCCTTAAGCGTTAAATTTCTTTTCTAGCGTAGTGCTTCCAAAAAACTTCCCGAAGCCTGCATTCAAATAGATTTTTGTTGAAGAAAAGTCGCCCTCAACCCTTGACAAAAGCATTGATTTCTTTGCGAGCGGCATGAGAAATTGTTCCCTATTTTTTTATTTTTGTCTTGTTAAATTTGGTGATAAACTTTTTGTTATCAGCATAATCATGCCTTTCCCCGTTTCAATTAGCTTTCATGGATCGTTCTTTTGCAGATTCGATAAGAATTCGTCTTTGTATACGCTTTTCCTTGAGGTTGGACTGTTTTACTTTTAAAAAAATAAGTCAAAAACTATATTTGCATGAACTTGTCAAATGCTATGTAAAGTTTTGATTAGTTATTGGTTAAAAGTGAATTCAAAGGTTTGACTCCGTTTGCTTGGTTCCCTCAAAGATGTCATGTCAACGGTGCAAAGAGCTTTATGCGAGAGTTCGACGAGCGCAAACTGTGTCCGATTCTGGTTCCCATCCTAGTACACTCGAACTCGCGTACATGGTTAATCTTGAATACTCGATCGAAATGAGTCATGATTGCCTGCACAAGATTCCTGAGAGTCGAAAAGCAACGATCAAAGTGAAGGACATGGTCGAGTATCTGGACGAGAGAAACTGGGAGCTGTGCACTAGAACGAAAAACAAAGGTAATATCATTTGTTTTTTTGTAGAAAAGTATTGAAAAGATAGAAAAATGATCAAATGAAGATCATGATCAAGTATGATCAAACTTTAGGCTTCACGTGCTCATCTTTCATCAACCATCCCGCAAAGAGGCTGGTGATCGTGCATCGGGGAACTCAACTGACCAATTTTTTACAACTCAAAGCAGACATTCGAATCGCATTGAACTTGATCACGTCAAGCATTGTGGCGGCTGCCGATTGGCACACGTTACAATCAATACTAAATAACACACTCCAAGTTGGACGAGGGGACGCGACGCTTCGTACGCAACGACTACTCGGTGACAATCACTGGGCACAGTCTTGGCGGATGGCTGGCTGAATTGTGCACGTTGTTAAGGAAACATCCAGCTTTCTTTCCCGTTGACCCGCGTGGTAAGTTCTCCTTTGGCAATGACACTATGCTTGATATGAATCAAGCAAACGACTTACATTGTGTGGCGTTTGATAGTCCGGGTGCGAATGCGGTTTTGACAAGACTCAAGGAGGATCCGGGTTGGCTAAATGGAGGGCCACGAGATGTCGAGATCGTCTTGCAGACACTCGACATTACGGTTTATCTGGCAAATCGTAACCTCGTAAACTGGTGCGGCACTCACGTGGGCACCGTGAAAACGATCGATGTTATGTCGAGCGCCTCGTTTTTCACCAGATATTTTAATCCAATCGCCTCGCACGGAATGGAGGGAATTTTAGCCTATTTTCAAAATAATTCCAACGCTTAGATGGGACACTTTGTTCAATTTAAACTTTTTTTTCCCAAAAATAAACTAAATCTTTGTAATATGTACTTCAAAATTTCATAATTTCATAATTTTTTTGTTTTCTTTGCATCAAATAAAGACTTTCCAACAAAATTCAATAAAAGTTTACCCTAAAATAACTTTAAAAACGCTTAAAATGAGTATTTGAAGTTTTTCAACACTTCATCTGGAAAACAAGTTTTATTCCAAGAAATTATTTTTTGTGATCAACGAGCAGCTCACACTAATCAGGTTTTCTCCATTTATTTTTTAACCAGCATTTCCTGTTTGGATGTTCGTTTACCCATAAGTAATCAATGGCAACAATCACAAAGCGAAAAAGTCAGATAAACGATAAGATTCAATGTCTCACGGTGGCTTTCCTGCTGGTTAAAAGCAATGAAATCGAAATCTTTCATAAGTCTGGGAAATCGCTAATCGGCCAGAAAAAGATTATTGAAAACTTGCAATGATTCCAAGAAAAACACAAAACTTTTCAAAGTTCTCTGTTGGAAAAATCATGAGAAGAACATTGTTGAGATGGAAAATCGTTTAGAACATTATTCTGAACAATGTTTAGTTGCTTAACTTAGTCTTGATCCCTATAGTTAGAGATTTAAAAGTGTTTTATTAAATAAAAACAAAACTGTCTACTCTATTTATAAACAATTTATCATTTCAATCTGATAAAATCACGAGTCTAACCAAATAGGAATACGAGAGCGGTTATTCAACGAGTTCAAGCTCACTTTCCTGATGAGAATATCGAGGGTACAGTTGGTGAAACGAGGCGACTTCAGCATTAGGAAGAAGAAGATGTAGACATTCGAATTGATCATTTTCTTAAATAAATCAACTTTGGTGAAGAGATCACTATAGAGGGACTCTTCTTTCTGTGATTGGTTTTCATAAAAGAAGTCGACAATCTCAGCGTGGGTCACAGAGGACGTTTCGAGTTTGATTTCGGCCGAGAATAGAGAAATCACTCGTTGAATTTGAAAACGATTGAGATTCAAATTCTTCAAATAACAAAGTGATTCAGCTTTTTGACTTGGAAAGCCATTCTCGAGAATCCAATTCAAAATCTCTTCGCTTTCTTCTGCCCAAGACTCCATCTCAAGGTATTTTGCCTTTGATCTAGCTAGGCTACTCATAAAATTTTCAGCATTTCGAATCTGAAAACTAGGACAGTTTTTGTTACGATCTCAAAAAGTTATTCAGTTCATCTATCAAATCTCCTACTTTTATTCGGAGTGTAGTCTTTGCAAGCACATCGAATTCTTTCGGGAAAATCCCTTCGCACCGGCCCCACCCTCACTTGATTCAACTCCAAGAAACCAGTGCCTTTTAGTTTGGGGAAAATCTCGAGAATGCTCTTGATGTTGTAAGTTTTCTTCTCAGATTCCTCTTTCTCTTCATAGACGTCCAATTCAGCACAATAAATAATGTTTTCCAAGAGGTGATGATACTTCAATAGTTCTCTCAAATTCCATCGAAAGTGCGCGAAATCACAGCGAACCCAAGCAATTTGTGAATGCCGAGTCTTTGAAGAAAGATAAATGTAAATTTTATCGAGTTTTTGTCCAAGTGGACCGTTTCGTAATACCCAATGCCGCAAAGAGCGATTCACTTTCAGTAACGTCAACAATAAAGACATCTCGACTTTTGGGAGCACCAGTTTCCGAAGCTCATTTGGAATGGCCAATAGGGAGGACATCAAAAACTTTAATAGATTTACGGGTAAAAATTAAAAAAAAACAGTATTATGTAGTTTTTTTTCCTTTCCATGCGTAATTGCACTGCTTCGGGCAGTGTCTTTTTCTTGCTTATCTCTCGTCTCAAGCAAAAAGATCAATAGCCACTAGTGACAACTAGTAAGTGCTAGAGGCCTCGGGTTCAATCCCAGTGGCTGGGAGTGGCCCCCAAGTCACGTAGTACGGTCACGTATTAAGAATTAACCGTCTATTTTCCCTTAAACTTGATTAGAGAGTTGTAACTCTTACCTATAAGAGCCTCTAGCTTTTCACACGAATCTTAGCGATTTTCCCGTCAACGATCTCCTTTTTTTTGATGAGCTGAAAATTAATCAAAGTTGTATTTACGTGTGTTTTGTAGGTTTTGCAAGACAAAACAAGAGCTAGGGGGCACACGGAGTTGACCCATCGACCTCTCGGACTGCAGCCGAATGCTCTGCCACTGAGCTATACCCCCACGTAGACCATGGGTTTGGAAAGTTCCCAAACCTTCTCCGGCACCCGAACAGAGAGATGGTCGTGTTCCGATTGTAGATTTTATTATTTACTTAATTGAATTCCTGCTTTTAATCGGTCAATGCTACTTTTTTGAAACAAAGACTTTTAAGCAGAATAAAGAATGGATCGAATTCATTGAAATTCGTAGAAATTGATTAGATAAATCTATTAGGTGTGTGAAAAAGTAATCCACGTTTTTAACGTTTAAATATAAAAGACCATAAGTTTCGTTAAAATAGAAATCTGAATAGAATAGAACAACCTTTTGCCAACGTTCTACAAGTAAAGATATTCCACGATAATAAAAATCTTGGTCCGTAGAGGCGAAGAAAAGATTAACCTCGGTTTTGACATCTTCTTCGGAATTGAACCGTTTATTGGCCAAAAGTTAGACAGAGACAAAAATAAATAATAATCAGATGGAGAAAGGTCTGAACTATAAGGTGGATATGGTAAAACCTTCCATCCAACACTCTGGATTTTTTGCCGTAAAGAGACATGTGGTCGCGCGTTATCGTTCATGCGGTATCCATTTATCCAACTTTTTGATAAAATTCATGGCATTCAAGCGTTTCCTTACGGTTGACCCATCACAATTTAATGTAAGGCCTATTTCTGAAGAGGTTGAACGAGGGTTTTCGAGAAGACAGAGTCTTATTTGGTCATCAGATAAAAATAAAAAACGTGGACTACTTTTTCACACACCTAATACTATATAATCTGATTAGCAGATTTGAAACAACTTGAAATCAATAAATAAATCTTACTGATGTATCTTACTGATGTATCTTACTGAATTTCATCTTACTGAATTTCAAAGATCTCTCAAAGACAAAGAGTTTATTGAGCGAATTGAGCATCTGTCCAGAATTTCTTTTGAAATGTTTCCATTTCCTCTTTGTAAACGTCAAATCTTTTCTCTTCTAGCCCAGGAGCACCTAAATTGAATATAAATATAGTTGTGAATGTTAAATATGCTGTAAGTTAAAGAACTCTTGAAACTAATCACTCTTGTCACTGAAATCCTGAAAGCTTTTCATAATTAGATAGAGAAAATCATTTACTTCCAACATCGATTCCTTCCATTTCGAAAAACCACAAATAGTTGTACATAATTAAAAGCATTTCTTGTAAATTGCTTAATGGAATATAAAGCAATCCCTCTATACTCAACCAGACACTGAGTTGTGATGTTCTCTAAGCGAAAAGCTGTACTACAAAAGTGTGCCTGTTTGTTCGGAGTGGCTAGGCTGACAATCCAGACCGGTTCTCTCATTTGCACCCCACGATGGACCATGACAATGACTTCTGGTCTGTTCCTTTTTTATTTTCCGCTTTTTGGCCACCCTAGTTCCGTAACACAAACAAAAGAAAAACCCGTACGAGGGATCAAGGCGAACGCTCATTTCTTTTAAAAGTCCTTCAACTAAATAGAGAAACGTTTCTCGGTGATACTGAGCTCGAGGCCAGAAATGTAATAATCGAAAAGCTTGTTCAAAAAGTGAATGTGTCACGAGAAATTCTTTCTGATCGAGTCTCTCACATAAAGAATACGGTATTCTCATTGAAGAGCTTGGAGCTGATTCGGGGAATTCTCGAATCTCACATTTTATCTCACACCCACAAACAGCTGCCTCTTCATTCATCGGAACTCGATTCCAAAAGTAGATATAACCCCAAAAACGTCGCGTTTTATCGGAAAGAGTGTATTTGATGAGATCTTCAGCGTATAGTGGTCTTTTTCTTATAGTATTTTTTGTCTAATAGCTGTTGGAGTCGTTGAAAGAAACTTTCGAATGGCTTCACTTCTTTAGGTCCTCTCTTTCTTTCTAGATGAGCGTATTTTTCGATGAGAGCTTTCTTTTCGCATAGGGCTCTTCTTACAGCTTCGATATCTAATGTGATTTTGCTTGTTGGTTGATCCCACATCAGCTTTTCGTTTTCAGTCAACTCTCGAATCTCGCTGAGATCTCGCTTAAATGCTAATCCATATCGACCACACCATTCGGTTCGCGAATCCGCCAAATAGTAGGTACAATATTGTCGACGTCTCGTAAAAACTTTCCCAACTTCTACGATGTTATGAATAGCCAGATTAAGAAAATCGATCAATTCCACCCAGCTCAGCGTCATCATTTTGGCAATTCCATAACGCGTGAATTGCAAAACGAAAGCAAAAATCTTGTACAATGAAATCGAGAGCAACTAGGTTTGCAAGAAGTTTTATATGACTCTTCATCGGCTCGAGCAAATCCTTTTTGAAGTCCAATTAAAATAACGATATCCTGGGTAATGATATTCTTTATTGCCATACGTTGTACAGTCCATATCGCCACCGGTTTGTTCTTTTGAAAAGAAAACGAGAAACTCATGAATTTCTTCTAATAGAATGGGTTTCTTTTTATCGTTAATTGAGCAAAATTCGTGGTAAGGCAAAAGTATTGAGCAAGATTTCCTCGCAACTCGTTCAGATCAACGTATTCCCCCTTTGTATGTACCAACTACTTAGAGATTTACACTGGGAAAAATCCGTTTCAGCGCTTTTTGATTCTTAAACGTTGAAAGTTTGTATTCCGAAGTAGCTTTGGGAGAAATTCGTATTGAAAATACTCGTTTAAGAGTTGCTCTTCTCTGGTGATTGGGTGCTGATCAATGACCAATGTCTTGCTTTTACTAGATGGTTCGCTGGGCTCCCAATAAAAGCTGTAAACCCTGTGATATCTTGGGGGGAGAGTCTCCCGCTGTGTTGAGCTCGGTTGTTTTTCAAAGGAGACAATCACACCATCAGGGTTTCTTCTGTCTTTTTTGCTCTCTGTTGATTTCTGGTTGAGCATTGTAGGCGGTAAAGGGCTGAAAAGGGTGTTACTGGGAAAGTTCAGAAGTTCAGTTCAAGTTCAAGCTTTAAAGCTTCTTGTATAGCTATCTAGTACAGAATTTTAGCTATCTAGTATAGAATTTTAAAAAACTAACGCAGGATTCTAAAATTCAGATATTTTTATCCCATTAGAGTTGATGCATAAGTGTTTTTGTTCCTTTTTCGTCTGCCGTTTCAAGCCAACAAATGCACCAATTAAACTACGGTTTGATTTCATTAGAAAACCAATTATTTTTCTGCAAAATAACATTAAAACGGGTTTCATATTTAATGCCTGGATTTTCTTGAGAGTATGAAGTCGAGTTGTCAAAAGGGCTCGCTCGATGATGCGGTTTAGACACCTTGGCTAAAGAAAACCTATCTTCGTGTCAATAGATAAAAGATAGAAAAAAAAAACGTTTGATATTTCGCGAAATTTCTGAGAAATTCATTCAGCCAATTTTTCAGTAGAGTTTTTATAGATTTTTACGAAAAAGGCGTTTTCCTCTCTAATTTGGCCCGAAAGTGAACCGAAATTGATTTAAAAGATGCAAATTGAACAAAAAACACTTTTTATAAGAGCAAACTATAGATTGGTGGTGCGTTGTTACTTTTTAACAGAAGTACGAAAAAAACGAAAAGACTTATGCATCAACCTATTAATATGCCGATTTTCATCAAGATTTTCATCAAAAGATTTCAACTCTCACGACGATTATACTACACAAGCTGAAAAGCTCAACAATCACGCTATTTTTGCTTTTAGAAAACCACCGTTATCTCGTTTTAATTTTTTAAATTGCAGCAGCAAGTCACCGTACACCAAATCGTTGGTTTGGGCTCGTTATGTTGTCGTGTTGTCGACCTCCCGATAATTTTGAGGTCTTCCAAGCTTTCGTCGCCCTCTGGAACCATCGTTTACACTGACTTTCGGATAGAGCATCTTCGTCAAACACTTGAGATAGAGCGCGATGAGCTTCAGCAGCCGATTTGCCTTGCTTAAACTCATACCACAAGCAGGCCCGCAAGCGAAATTTTTGGTCCAACATTTTCTAAACACTCTTTCTTGTAAAAAAACAAAGTAAACATAGACAAATTATATCTTAAACGATGCGCAAGAACACGCTCTTTCCAATAGAATAAACTATAAACTGCTGTTTTCGGTGATTTTCTAAAAGGCACTAGCGGCACCGTAGTGCGTACGCGATGCTCCGCGTCGGGATCGCCGTTTTCTCGCCGGTTTTTGAATAGCATCGCGGCGCGAACTATTCTCAACCGTTCATCATGTTCTCTTAGAAAATCTACTCGTCATTTAAACGTTGCTTTCCTCAGAGGGATCGACGTTTATACCTTCATTTCGCTTTAGCAGAACAATTCTTTTTGTTGTGTTGGTGACTTGCTAAAGGTACGGAGTTAAAACGAGATAACGGTGGTTTTCGGCGAAAAATAGCAATTGTTGAGCTTTTAAGCTTTGTTTATATAATAAATATTTCCATATTTCTCGTATAATTTATATTTTTGTCCATCCAAGTCTGGTCGCTAAAGATTTTTGCGAAACGTTGACTTAAACGATCAAAACTTTGCAAAAGGAGATCTTTTCAAAAAAACTGT